ATCAAACCAACAAAGAATGACATAATGTTATTCATGCATTGACTTCTATGTAATAAGGAGATATAATAATTTATGATTAGAGAATGTGTTCTCTAAACATCAATCTAATAAATAATGATAGGCCGTTGTTGATATTTTCCTTTATATATATTAGCAATGAAAATAAAATATTTATTTAATAGATTTATTCATCAACAATGTAATATTCTCATTAAATAGATAATAAATTTGATGAGTTTCATTATTTATCATCATTTCAAATAAAAGATAATGATATGCTCAAATTATATAATAATGTAATTAATCCAAAAGAAAAAAAACATCATTATACATATCTATTAACCTTCACGCGAAGCACGAACATGTTCTCTAGTTTAATATAATGAACATTGATATTTCAATAAAAGTATTTTGCCCTCATGTGAATTTCACTGTCTTTTAAAAGATTCTATTCATTTAGTATTTTCAAAGTTTAGCTTACTATACAGGTAAGTAAAAATATATTTGATCTTTTTTTCAAATACCGTATAGTTGTGAAAAAATAAAAGAAATTGAAGAATCGAAAGAATCGACTAAGCCGAAATCGAAAAATCTAACTTTATGTGGTTGATTTGGTTTTTAGATTTAATAAATCGACATAATTGATTTAGTTTTTTTTAAATGAAAAATCATACCAAACTGACCTATGTACACCCCTAGAGTATCTTGAGTTTTTGGCTAATATCAAACCCTGCTTAAAGTACATCCTTATGTTATATAAGTAAACAAAAAACATTCTTGCACTATCTAAAAAGTTCCAAGATGCATCCTTTTGTTTACTTTTGTAAAAAACTCACGCCACCAATAAAAAAATGTATCAAGTCGAATATATATATGTTCATATGGTTAAGCTACTTAGTTGGGTGATTTTTTTAATTGTTAAGAATTGAGGGTTTAGATAGTTTTCAGAAAAAATATATTCAAATTATAAATATTCTTAGTAAAAAGTATAGCCAAATACAATTTCAATTTCAAAAATTTCATATAAAGTAATTATTTTTTTATTTTCATAACTAAACGCTTACATCATTTCACTAACCTTTTAGTATTTTTATACGTTATATAAAATGTGAATTGCATTGTATATAACATATATACGTACAAAATATTTAATTAAAGAAAATCTCTAAATAGTTGAGCGAAGTACTTTTAAAATGAATTTGTTTACATAACTTTTCTAAACATCGGAATCTATTGTATAAATATTTCAAGACATATGTATTGTTGCAAGTTAATTTACTTGATGATGCAAAATACATTTAAACTAACAACACACAAAATTTAATTTTGAGTGTGACGAAAAATTAATTTTCTATTCATATCCTTATTCTTTTTAGGTAACTTTGATCTTCTCGTGGTGACTTAGACATGATCAGATTAGAAAAATATATTTTTTTGATTCAATCTTTTTAATAAAAATAGACTGAAGAATATATGACTCTTATTATTCTGTGGATAGTATAAGAATATTTTTTTTTCACTTAGATAATATAAAAATGTATATTAAATTTGAGTTATATTTTAGCCAAAAACTCTACACCCTACGTAAAGGATAAAATAGAAAAAATAGGGATAATGCACAAGTACCCCTCAACCTATGCCCGAAATCTCAGAGACACACTTATATTATATTAAAGTCCTATTACCCCCCGGACTTATTTTATTAATAATTTTCTACCCTTTTTCGGCCTATCTGGCACTATCTTGTGGGCATAACGCTAGTTGACTTTTTCTTTTCAAGTTAGTGCCACGTAGGTCGAAAAGGGGTAGAAAATTACTTATTAAATAAGTTCAGGAGGCTAATAAGACCTAAGTATAGTATAAGTGTGTCTCTGAAATTTCGGGCATAGTCTGAGAGGGTACTTGTGCATTTTCCCGAGAAAATATCATAAGAAATGAAAAATATTTAATATTTAAACTAAGAATCATATTAAGACTTACACTATGTTTGGATCATCATTATTCATTGTATTGTATTGTATTGTATCGTTACTATATCTACAATGTTTGTTTTGGTTGTTACTTAAAAAGTATTATACTGATTGTTAAATTCTTTGTTATGTAAAAACGAAAATTTCTATTTTATGGAACAACCAATTTTGTGTGTTCCATTATTACTTAATTTTTTTCTAATTATATCTTTACATGATATTTAAAAAGACAATTTTATTATTAATCTTATTATTTAAATCTAGACAAATCTATTCTAAAATAATTAAAAATATTTTACTATATTTATAAATTATAATACATTACAATATAATCAAATCAAACAATTAAATTATTATTAAATAATAATAAATAATATAATCTAGCTAAAAATTATATCTGTGTAATATAATACAGTAGAATATATTATTGAAACAATGGGTGACAAGTGTTAAAAGAGACAGGAGGGAGTATTTGTAGGAAAGAACCTGAAACTCGTTCACCCTATTCTAATAGAGAGAGTAAAACTCATACTGGCGGCTGCCGCTAATCGAAAATGGCAGCTAAAGAAGCAATTATCATCACAGACAAGGATGAGATGAGAAAATGGACAAGGAGCATGAGAGCCCAAGGCAATACAATTGGCTTTGTACCCACCATGGGCTACCTCCATCAAGGTCATCTTTCTCTAATCCAAGAAGCACACAATCAAGCTGACCTTATAGTTGTCTCCATCTATGTTAATCCAGGTCAATTCTCACCCAATGAAGATCTTTCAACATACCCATCTGATTTTCAAGGCGATATACAGAAACTCAACTCTGTACCTGGTGGGGTTGATGTTGTATTCAACCCCAAAAATCTGTATGACTATGGGAATTCTCAAATTGGAAATGGGTCTGACAGGAATTTAGAAGAGAGTGGGGGAATGGTGGTGTCTTGTGTTGAAGATAAAGGGATGGGCCATGAAACTTGGGTTAGAGCTGAAAAATTGGAAAAGGGATTGTGTGGGAATAGTAGGCCTGTTTTCTTTAGAGGGGTTGCTACTGTTGTTACCAAGCTGTTTAATATAGTTGAGCCTGATGTTGTCGTCTTTGGTAAGAAGGATTATCAACAATGGAGGATTATTCAGAGAATGGTAAGATTTGCTAAAAATTTCATCTTATTTTTTTTTTCTGTTGAAATGTTGGATAACTGAGTTTGTACTAGCTGTTTGGATGGAGGTATTATAAGTTTTCAATCTTGAGATAAGTTATCTCATTACTAAGGTATATGCCTAATGCGTCCAACCAAACACAGACATTTTATCACTTGAGATTATTATGCGTTATATCTCACCCCAAACGACTCCTAAGTGGTAAATTTTATGGTAAAAGATAGATGTTATCTCATTTATAGTTTTTGATTATGGACTCCCAAAAGATACCACAACAGTCCCTTTGCTGTATCTAAGAATTCTTCGGATTTAGCATTTCTATGTGGTAAATTTTATTTTTTAATTAGCTATAAGCACTGTTTTCCAATTTATTTGATTTCTTGAAAATCCAATCATTCAATGGGGGTGTATACCCAGAAAGGAACAAAATCAATAAGTGAATGAAGGGAGTGAGGTGATGGAGTTTGTTCTGATTTGCGATGCTCATCAAAGTCTTAACTTTTGCTTTACTACTATTTATTGATTTCTTCGACCTTGGTAAGCATTTATCACCAAAAACATCGATTCCGCAGTGGCAATGATTCCTTTATGTTGGCTTTGGAGGTTATGGAATGAGAGTGGAGTGATGAATGATGAGTTTGATGTTGATGGTTGATCCTGAAGAGTGGATGGATGGTGGTAATGAGATGGATGTAATAAAAAATGATGGTGGTGAATTTAGTAGCCGTCGTTGCTTTTACTGGCGAAGAGGTGATTATGTTTTTCGTGGATGGAGTTTTCTGTTTTGTTTTCGTAATTGAAATACACAACTTGAGGAAAGAGAAGAACCTTTTCTTCTTCTGTTTATGTGCCAGTCATTTCTTGGTCACATTTTTTGTATCAAAGCGTTTGTAAAAGCACATTCTTTGTTTGAATGAGAGATTGTGACTTAGACGTTCAATACACACATTTAAAGAAGTGTTGAAGGGTATAATAGGAACAAGCTTTAGTTTAGGTGTCAAAATGAAAATTCATGGCAACTTTAACGGGCAACTTATGTATTTGGCCATCTAACATCTATCAGTATAACAACAACGTACCCAGGATTAAGAGATAATTGAAATACTCCACCCTGTTAATACGTAATTATTGTGCCGGAATTTACTGTACCGGACCAAACTTTGTAGTATCTACTTTCAATTACCGAATTATGGAAACCATACTTTGTAAAGACCGAATGCCACCCCAAATATGGCCATATCTGCTCTTCTGAAAGTAAAAGTGCTAATCAGGAAGATGTTGAAATGTTGCTTAGTTTTTTTACTTTGCTAGTCTTAGTCAAGTAGTATGCTTTAGAGCTGAAGTCTGATGTGATTTTTTAATTGATCGTCTGAACGTAATTCTATTTCAGGTCCGAGATCTTGATTTTGGGATAAAGGTGATTGGTTCTGAAATAGTACGAGAACATGATGGCCTTGCAATGAGTTCCCGTAATGTGAAACTTTCACCTGTGGACAGACAAAGGGTGCTTCTTCTGCTATCATTATCTCTTATTATATGATAATAAAAACCTGCTTCTTAGATATACTAATTATGGCAACCATTAGCTTATTCAGAATCAAAATATCTGGGATAATACGTTTGCAAAAACTGATTTCCTACTAAGGTTCTCTCTATCATTATCTGGTGTTTGTGTTAATTGAAACTTTTTGCTCGTTGTACTATTCCACAGGCTTTATCAATTAGTGGTGCTCTGTCTTCAGCACAAGTTGAAGCAGGAAATGGTCAGGTTAACTGCAGAGAACTGATAAATACTGCCATTCTTACCATATCTGAAGCCGGTGGAACGGTTGATTATGCTGAGGTGAGAACTTAAAGAAAAATAATATCTTTCATATAGATAAACAAATTACTGAAGGAAGTATGGCATAATCTTGTCAATAGTGCTTTCAAGGTCCTCTAGCTGTAACATATATTTACCAATAGAATACACGAGTACCATACAACGGCTTTTTTAAGGAGCGAGTAACATGATAAAGCTCTCTAGTTACACCACTTCTCCTTTACTACCCTCTTGAACTAGTACACACATCACCAGTATTTGGTATCTTTAGTGTCTTGGAAGCTTTATCCGGACATGAACCTGTGCAATGTTCCACAGTATTTTTGTTTAGCAACATGAAGGTCATCACTAATACAAATAAAAAGTTCATTTCGATTTTTTGGTTTTGTTTTACCTCATTGCTGACACCTTCCTTGCATCAGATTGTGGATCAAGAAAGTTTAGAGCCAGTGGAAACCATCAAGAGACCAGTTGTATTTTGTGTAGCAGTATGGTTTGGAAAGGTTAGGCTCATTGACAACATGGAAATTGATGTGTAAATTGAGATGCATGGAGCCACTAAATATACAGTTTTACCTGGGTTTGCAATGACTTTTTCTCAAAGATATTTACTTACGCAAGGGTATGAAAAGTTATACTCCCTCCGTCCCATTGTATATGAGTTAGTTTGACTCAACTGAGTTTTAAGAAAAAAATGAAGACTTTAGAAACTTGTGAGATATTTGTGTGAATATAAATCATTTCATTAAGGGTAAAACGAGTATTTTAAAGTTAAGTTGGTACTTAATATAGAAATATGTCATTTTTTTTAAAGTAATTAAAAAGAAAGAAAGTCATATAAACTCGAAGAAGTAATATTTATACCGAAACACGAAAATCCTTTTAAGTCAAACTTCATTGAATTCAATTATGATGGCTTGTAAAATTCTTAACAATTATGAAATGGGTCTTAAAAGTTATGCTTACTGTGGTGCATTACTTTTGTAATGTAACGGAGGTTGTAGAAGATGTGTAAGCATATCTATTAAAAGAAAGAAAACAATCAAATGATAGAAGAAGTCAATATTTTGATGGAAAGATTTTTGGGTATTCATGTTTTGGTTAAAAATCGATCCAATCGGACATTAAATTGTAAATTACTTTCATATGCTTTGATTGATTCAAAAGATTAGAGCCGTCAATATGAGTTAGGTCCGTTGGGCTGACTTGGTTAATTCAGGATTTAATAGGGTTGGGCTAAAAATTTTGGAGCCCATTTAAAAAAAAAGATTTTTAGCCCAGTTTAAATAATCATGCTAATTGGTGGGACTTGAAAATTTTAGGTTGGATCGGCTCGTGGGCCAATAAAAATTAATTAAAAAAGGACAACTTTCACATATAGGAAAGTTTGCATAATTGCACTCCATAGTAAACATATAAATGTATAATTCGCTATACATATTTATAACTGAAGCGAATTGTATAAAACGAGAAAGAGAAAGAGACTTGGGCAGAGAATTGTATAAAATGAATTGTATAATTATAAGTGTATAGAACGATTATATACAATTTGAATTTGTATAAAATGAGAAAGAGAGAAAGGCAAAAGAGACTTGGGCAGGAAATATACAATTGAATCGAATTGTGTAAAGCAAGAAAGAGAAATTATATACAATTTGAATTTGTATAAAATCAAGAAGAGAGAAAGGCAAAACAAACTGGGCATGGAAATACTTTTATTGTATAAATATAAGTGTATAGGACGAAAATATGTGTATTTGCATTTGTATATACAATTTTTTCTCGTTTTATATAACAGAAACACAATTTACACATTTCGTTTCTGTTTGTGTAAGCGAGAGAGGCGAGGGTGACAGCGAGATTAGGGGGAGTGGCGAGCGAGATCTGGAGAGGGGAGAGAGGAGAACAAAAATATATGTATTTATACAATTTTTTCTCGCTTTATACAAATAGAAACAGATTTTATACACTTGTGTTTGTATAAAAGTGAGAGGAAGCAAGTAAGAGATGAAGCGAGAGAGGAGAGTGGCGAACGAGAGTTTGAGGGAGAGAGGTGACTAACAAACAGTTTGCTATGGGACACAATTAAATCAAATGATTGTTATAGCAATTAATTTAATTTATTAGTTTGCTGTTATACACAATTTTCCCATTAAAAAAATATGATATAATATTAAAATTTAAAAAATTAAAGAAAGTCCAAACTCAAAACAATTAGGTTGATATTTTAATATTTCTATTTAGATATTTATATTTTTACTTGAAAAAAAACTTTAAAAATATTATAAAGATAATTTTTTTGTGGATTTGATTAACAATTATAACATTAATATCATGTAATATTGTTTTGTCGATATTTATGATAATATTTTAAATTTATAATTTAATTAATAATTATAACAAATATATAATTTTTTAAAAAATGGACCGGCTTGGCAATCATGTAGTCCACATATTTGTGTATTGGGTCGATCATTTTCTGGCCCGCGCAAAAAATGGGCTAATCCGGCCTGACCTGTAAAATGTCAAACATGTACGAGTAAGCCCGAATGGATGGGCTAACCCATATTGACAGCTCAACAGAAGACAATGCTTCATTCACATGATTATTTGAGAGACTTAGAAATGTATTTGGTAAACGAGACAATATGTTGATTTGATAATTATTTGATGGGAAAATTGTTCATAATAACAAACATTTAAATCAAAATAAATATTATAGCTACTCTGTCATTTATTTTTAGTTGGCAGCAAATGTTATTTGACTTTTGCCGTGTGATTGCGGCCTGCTAATTTAGAGAAACGGAAGACTTGTTTTTATACAAACATATTCCCTATCTTTCTCTCCTAATTTCTGTCGATTTTTCCTCAAATCCATTATTTTTTTAAAATTGGTTGCCCCCCCCCCCCCAACCATATTTTAAGAAAGTGAAAATTGATTATTTTTATACAATTCTTTCCTATTTTTTCTCTTTCAATTTCTTTTGATTTCTCCTAAAATCTCTCTTCAAATCAATTTTTTTTTGAAAAAATAAATTATGTATTATTTCCACTAATATAGATTTTTAATTATATACATATTACACTCATACAAAATCATATATATAGACTACACTTATACATATACATATATGCATATACAATTGACAAGTCTAATACAGAGAACATATACATATACTATTAATAGCTAATACAAAATTTTATATATATGTAAATTCCATATATGTAAACTGTGGAATATACGATAATATAGTTATATATACATATACAGATTTATATTTAAATACGTATAATAACATATACATATACAACTGAAAGTCATCACGAAAAAAGTATACTTATACAACTTACAGCCAAGTAAGTTTCTTATTTGTATACAAATTTTAAATATATACTTATACAATTGGAATGAATGCCAAAGCATACAGATTAATAATCGTGTTATACACTTATAATTATACAATACAAATATTTTTATGTTCAAATCTCTTTTTGCCCTTCTCTCTTTCTCGTTTTATACAAATTCAAATTGTATATAATTTATCTCTTTCTCGTTTTATACAATTCGTTTCAATTGTATATGTATAGCGAATTATACATATATATGTTTGCTATGGAGCGCAATTATGCAAACTTTGTTATAACATACAAATATGAATTTTGTGTTTGCTATATGTGAATGTTACCCTTATTCAATTAATTTTCTTACTTACCCATTATAATTTTGTATTAGATATAGTTGAATATATGGATTGGATTTTTTCAACACTGTAGATCCGTATGGACTTTTGCTATGTTTAGGCTTATTTGTTTGCACTTAATGAGGTCTGACTCTTAATAATTAGATTCAGCCCATTAAATATGTTTATTTTAAGATCTTAATCTTAATAATTAAGATTCAGCCCATTAAACTTGTTTGGTTCTTTTTTTTAAAAAAAAGTCTCTTAATGAATCTAAAAGAATCTGATTTGTACAAGTGTCTTAACACCATTCAGATTCATTAATATATCGTATCTCTAAAAAAAACAAAAAACTAATGTTGCACTTATGTCGAGTCCGAAACTTAAAGGGTACAAAATATTAATAAAAATTCCAAAACGGTAAATAAAATTTTATATTAACCAAAAAGGTAAAATCGCTGCAGATGCAACGACTTACCTCACTTGAAAAAGCAAAATCGCTGCCTCTGCAGCGATTTCAATTTTTTTTTAAATCGTTGCCAAGGCAGCGATTTTAATTTTTCTAAAAAATAAGGTACATCGCTGCCTTGGCAGGTATTTATAATTTTTTTTAAATCGCTACCACACCAATGATTTAACATTTTGTAAAATAAAAAGAATAATTTATAAATCGCTACCTTGGCAGCGACTTTATAATTTTTTTTTAAAATCGCTGCCTAGGAAGCTATTTGCAAAAAAAATTAAAAAAAATGTTAAAGCAGCGATTTTATATAAAAAAAAGATTATAATATTTTTAAAATTTAAATATATAACTTATAATAAAATATACATTATTTTTTAAAAAAATAAAAATAAGTAAAGTAATAAATATATTTTCTTTCTAAAAAAAGATATTATATTGAATTTAAATTTAAATAATATTTGAATTCAAATAAAATTTTAAATTCAAATAATTAAATTTTTTAAATAAAAAATTAAGGCAGCAATTTTATTGATTTTTTTTAAAAACAAAATGATATATACATATATATATATATATATATATATATGTATATTAAAAAATTAAAGATAATCACACGATGGATTGATTGATTCACGTGTAAATAGTAAAGATTTTGTTGTAAATAGTTGAATAGAGAGTTCACATGTAAATAGTATTAATATGTTTACAATGTTATAAATTGGTGAATTATTCTTCATATTCATATTGCATTCTACTTTCAATCTTTCAACAATCTTAAAATTCTTGTTATTTTTCAAATTTTCTAAAGTTTTTAAAAGCCTTTTCTTTATAAGGTGAGTTTAAATTTATTTTATTTTTAATTTATTTTAATTAATTTTATACTTTTATATGATATTGTTGATATATTCAATCGTTTGATACTTATATTAATGTTAATATTTCTTTTTATTTTTTGTGTATAGATATGCATCCGTCAAATGTATACGTACATCCTGGTCCAGTAGAGCATGATATATTAAAAATTCAAGTTAATCATCGTTCCGAAGGAATTTGGAATGGTAGCATAAAAGAAGAGAGGTCTTGCTTATATACGCGTCGTGGTGATATTGAATTTTGGCAACATATAAAATATCATCCATTACATTCTCGCATCCTTCAATATTTTGAAAATTGTGGATTTAAAGGAATTCTTGATGTAGGATGTGTGCCGTATGACTCCGGATTAATTTCTGCTTTAATTGAAAAGTGGCGTCCAGAAACTCATATTTTTCACATGCGAACTAGCGAGGTTACTATAACTCTACAAGATATTGAAATTTTATTCGGAATGGTAGTAGATGGTAGTCCTATAATTTTAAATGGAGTTGATTCTTCAGGGATTATAGGTAGACAAGAAATGATATTTGAATTAACAGGATGGTTACCCGATACTAGTTGTTTTTCTGGTGTTAGTAGATTGTTAACATATAAATTGATTGATTATATCGAAGGTTTGGATGGTATTAATGATAACTCAACTGAGCTTGAAGTTCAACAAAGATTTAGATTATATTTATTATGGTTATGTGGTGGATCAATATTTCCGGATAAATTTAATATTTGTACGGAGAAATTTAGATTTAATGTCAACTCAAGCATGGGGATCAGCCGCATTATTATATTTGTATAATT